GTTTTTAATGAGGAAAATGAGTTAGATGAGTGAATATAATGAAAAATCAGATTCTTAGAAAATTCAGTCAAGGAAATACAAGAAAAATTAAAAAAAAAAAAACGAAAAAAAATTAACTATGAATCAGTCTAAAAAAAATGAAAAAAAAAAGGTCTTAAACTCTCCTCTCCCCCGTCCTCCAAGAACCTCTCCCCCGTCCTCCAAGAACCTCTCCCCACGTCCTCCAAGTACCTCTCCCCCGTCCTCCTCAAGAACCTCTCCCCACGTCCTCCAAGTACCCTCTCCCCCGTCCTCCAAGAACCTCTCCCCACGTCCTCCAAGAACCTCTCCCCACGTCCTCCAAGTACCTCTCCCCCGTCCTCCAAGAACCTCTCCCCACGTCCTCCAAGAACCTCTCCCCCGTCCTCCAAGAACCTCTCCCCACGTCCTCCAAGTACCTCTCCCCCGTCCTCCAAGAACCTCTCCCCACGTCCTCCAAGTACCTCTCCCCCGTCCTCCAAGAACCTCTCCCCACGTCCTCCAAGAACCTCTCCCCCGTCCTCCAAGAACCTCTCCCCCGTCTCCAAGAACCTCTCCCCCGTCCTCCAAGAACCTCTCCCCCGTCCTCCAAGAACCTCTCCCCCGTCCTCCAAGAACCTCTCCCCCGTCCTCCAAGAACCTCTCCCCCGTCCTCCAAGAACCTCTCCCCCGTCCTCCAAGAACCTCTCCCCCGTCCTCCAAGAACCTCTCCCCCGTCCTCCAAGAACCTCTCCCCTGTCCTCCAAGAACCTCTCCCCTGTCCTCCAAGAACCTCTCCCCCGTCCTCCAAGAACCTCTCCCCCCGTCCTCCAAGAACCTCTCCCCCGTCCTCCAAGAACCTCTCCCCGTCCTCCAAGAACCTCTCCCCCGTCCTCCAAGAACCTCTCCCCGTCCTCCAAGAACCTCTCCCCCGTCCTCCAAGAACCTCTCCCCCGTCCTCCAAGAACCTCTCCCCTGTCCTCCAAGAACCTCTCCCCCGTCCTCCAAGAACCTCTCCCCTGTCCTCCAAGAACCTCTCCCCCGTCCTCCAAGAACCTCTCCCCTGTCCTCCAAGAACCTCTCCCCCGTCCTCCAAGAACCTCTCCCTGTGTCCTCCAAGAACCTCTCCCCCGTCCTCCAAGAACCTCTCCCCCGTCCTCCAAGAACCTCTCCCCTGTCCTCCAAGAACCTCTCCCCCGTCATCCAAGAACCTCTCCCCCGTCCTCCAAGAACCTCTCCCCCGTCCTCCAAGAACCTCTCCCTGTCCTCCAAGAACCTCTCCCCTGTCCTCCAAGAACCTCTCCCCCGTCCTCCAAGAACCTCTCCCCCGTCCTCCAAGAACTCTCCCCCGTCCTCCAAGAACCTCTCCCCCGTCCTCCAAGAACCTCTCCCCCGTCCTCCAAGACCTCTCCCCTGTCCTCCAAGAACCTCTCCCCCGTCCTCCAAGAACCTCTCCCCCGTCCTCCAAGAACCTCTCCCCGTCCTCCAAGAACCTCTCCCCCGTCCTCAAGAACCTCTCCCCTGTCCTCCAAGAACCTCTCCCCCCGTCCTCCAAGAACCTCTCCCCCGTCCTCCAAGAACCTCTCCCCCGTCCTCCAAGAACCTCTCCCCCGTCATCCAAGAACCTCTCCCCCGTCCTCCAAGAACCTCTCCCCCGTCCTCCAAGAACCTCTCCCCCGTCATCAAGAACCTCTCCCCCGTCCCTCCAAGAACTCTCCCCCCGTCCTCCAAGAACCTCTCCCCCGTCCTCCAAGTACCTCCCCCCCCCCCCGTCCTCCAAGAACCTCTCCCCCGTCCTCCAAGAACCTCTCCCCCGTCCTCCAAGAACCTCTCCCCGTCCTCCAAGAACCTCTCCCCCGTCCTCCAAGAACCTCTCCCCCGTCCTCCAAGAACCTCTCCCCCGTCCTCCAAGAACCTCACCCCGTCTCCAGAAACTCTCCCCCGTCCTCAAGAACCTCTCCCCGTCCTCCAAGAACCTCTCCCCGTCCTCCAAGAACCTCTCCCCCGTCCTCCAAGAACCTCTCCCCCGTCCTTCAAGAACCTCTCCCCCCCCGTCCTCCAAGAACCTCTCCCCCGTCCTCCAAGAACCTCCCTCCCCCCCGTCCTCCAAGTACCTCCCCCCCGTCCTCCAAGAACCCTCCCCCCCCCCCGTCCTCCAAGTACCTCCCCCCCGTCCTCCAAGTACCTTCCCCGTCCTCCAAGAACCTCATCCCCGTCCTCCAAGAACCTCATCCCCGTCCTCCAAGAACCTCTCCCCCGTCCCTCCAAGTACCTCCCCCCCCGTCCTCCAAGTACCTCCCCCCCCGTCCTCCAAGTACCTCTCCCTCGTCCTCCAAGTACCTCTCCCTCGTCCTCCAAGAACCTCTTCCCCCGTCCTCCAAGAACTCCCCCCCCCCGTCCTCCAAGTACCTCTCCCTCGTCCTCCAAGAACCTCCCCCCCGTCCTCCAAGTACCTCCCCCCGTCCTCCAAGTACCTCTCCCTCGTCCTCCAAGAACCTCCCCCCGTCCTCCAAGAACTCCCCCCCCGTCCTCCAAGTACCTCTCCCTCGTCCTCCAAGAAAACCTCCCCCCCACGTCCTCCAAGTACCTCCCCCCCCGTCCTCCAAGTACCTCCCCCCCGTCCTCCAAGTACCTCTCCCTCGTCCTCCAAGAACCTCCCCCCCACGTCCTCCAAGTACCTCCCCCCCCGTCCTCCAAGTAACTCTCCCTCGTCCTCCAAGTACCTCTCCCTCGTCCTCCAAAAACCTCCCCCCCGTCCTCCAAGTACCTCTCCCTCGTCCTCCAAGAACCTCCCCCCCCGTCCTCCAAGTACCTCCCCCCCCGTCCTCCAAGAACCTCTCCTCCGTCCTCCAAGTACCTCCCCCCCGTCCTCCAAGTACCTCCCCCCCCCGTCCCTCCAAGAACCTCCCCCCCGTCCTCCAAGTACCTCCCCCCCCCCCAGTCCTCCAAGAACCTCTCCTCCGTCCTCCAAGAACCTCTCCTCCGTCCTCCAAGTACCTCCCCCCGTCCTCCAAGTACCTCCCCCCCCCGTCCTCCAAGAACCTCTCCTCCGTCCTCCAAGAACCTCCCCCCCGTCCTCCAACACCTCCCGCCCCCCCTGCTTGTTCAACAATACCACTAAGACACTCAGTCATAACCTTCTAGGAAGACATAAACAGTCCTTCGCCAGTCCACAGTTTGGGCAAAACGGCCGCTGCTTCCACGCATGAATGAGGACGACCCTGGGGTCGTGCGTGGCCCCTGGCGACGACCCTGGGGTCGTGCGTGGCCCCTGGCGACGACCCTGGGGTCGTGCGTGGCCCCTGGCGACGACCCTGGGGTCGTGCGTGGCCCCTGGCGACGACCCTGGGGTCGTGCGTGGCCCCTGGCGACGACCCTGGGTCGTGCGTGACCCTGGCGACGACCCTGGGGTCGTGCGTGACCCCTGGCGACGACCTGGGGTCGTGCGTGGCCCCTGGCGACGACCTGGGGTCGTGCGTGACCCCTGGCGACGACCCTGGGGTCGTGCGTGACCCCTGGCGACGGCGACTAGAATGAAGAGCGGCATAAGATGAAAGGAAACATATTGACGAGGTGTGTGTGTGTGTGTGACGTCACAGTCTTGATAGCAGGACAGGTTTTAGACCCTGAGCTGAATCACAGTGTGTGTCAGGCCTCATGATGCTGCTGCCAGTAGGGTCCAAAACCTGTCCCGGCGTGAACACAACCACGTCATCGTGACGTCACACGTCCCCATCTTCGGGTCACTTGCTAGACCTCCACCACACACCTGGATGAGGATAACATGTGACTGGCTGGCCAAGACCATGTGTGTGAGGCCAATCAACACTGTCGACGGAGTCTTCTGCCAGTCCAGCGATGACTGAGGAGGCGAGGCCCAAGAGCTGAAGCTCAAGGAAGCACACCCAAGCAAGCACAAGTAGGTGAGCACAACTATACTCATTCCTCACAAGATCGCTAACGATCGTACAATTATTAGAACGATCAAGACGGAGAAAGATTAGCAAGAAACTATACAAGAGATATAAGATATATTAGCAAGAAGATACTATATATTAGCAAAAAGATACTCTATATTAGCAAAAAGATACTTTAAATTAGCAAAAAGATACTTTATATTAGCAAAAAGATACTATATATTAGCAAAAAGATAATTTATATTAACAAAAAGATACTATATATTAGCAAAAAGATACTATATATTAGCAAAAAGATACTATATATTGGCAAAAAGATACTATATATTGGCAAAAAGATACTATATATTAGCAAAAAGATACTATATATTAGCAAAAAGATACTATATATTAGCAAAAAGATACTATATATTAGCAAAAAGATACTATATATTAGCAAAAAGATACTCTACATTAGCAAAAAGATACTATATATTAGCAAAAAGATACTCTACATTAGCAAAAAGATACTATATATTAGCAAAAAGATACTATATATTAGCAAAAAGATACTATATATTAACAATGGCATACTATATATTTGCAAGAAACTATACAAGGTGACTTGGACAAGGAAGGAAGGACCTATCAGGAGAAGCGCCAAGCCATTACGACCATGTAGCACTTGGAAGGGGTCAGGATAAGGATTTGGGATGGGACGGGTGGAAAGGAATGGTGCCCAACCACTTGGACGGTCGGGGATTGAACGCCGACCTGCAAGAAGCGGGACCGTCGCTCTACCGCCAGGGAGAGAAAGATCTTGGGACTTTGAAACTCACTGAATCCTTCCCCAAAATCCCACATCAATAGGCTTATGCCTGGCTAGACAACATAAGAACTACTTATAGAAACTTGTGTAAGGAATTATTCACAGCCTTGTAAACTACATATGTCAGACCAATCCTGGAGTATGCGGCTCCAAGCGTGGCGTCCGTACCTAGTCAAACACAAGTCGAAGTTAGAAAAAAGATTAGTGGTGTATCACTAGTGTCGAGTCATGAATTACAAGGAAAGGCTACTGGAATTTAACCTCATGTCACTGTAAGACCGAAAATTTTGGGGAGACATGATCACCACATACAAAATTCCCATTGGAATCGATAGCGTAAAGACAATTTAGCACGGGCGGGACACGAACAAGGGGACACAGGTGGAAACCCTGAACAAATAGCCTGCATGTGTTACAACGGAAAGATTGATGATATTCTGGAGAGATATATATAAGAATTTTGCACCAAGATTGCAACCTTTTGTTGAACTGTCTGAATGTTGATTGTAAATTATCTATATACCTAGTTATAAAAGTTTTTGTGTGTACCTCTGGTAACAAACATGTGTAAAGGAAGAAATGTATATGTTTACCTCTCAGAATGTTCGATAATATGTTTATTGTTTGTGATGTGTGTGTGTATATATATATATGAACACGTTGTACTGAACGGGGTGAGGATAGCTTGAGCTATCTCATCCCTTTGTGTGTATTTTACCTCAATAAACATATTTCAATTTCAAATTATTTCAGGTACAAACTGAGCACCTTAATGAGCCACAGAGACATTAGACATAACTGTTTAATGTCAGAGTAGTTAACAGGTACACTAGGAAGTGATGTGGTGGTTATCTTGAAGTTATCTTGAGATGATTTCGGGGTTTAGTGTTCCTGCGGCTCGGTCCTCGACCAGGCCTCCACCCCCAGGAAGCAGCCCGTGACAGCTGACTAACTCCCAGGTACCTATTTACACCTAGGTAACAGGGGCATCAGGGTATAAGAAACTCTGCCCATTGTTTCTCGCCAGCGCCCGGGATCGAACCCGGAACCACAGGATCACGCGTCCAGTATTCTGTCGGCTCAGCCACCGGCTACCTAAAGGCTGACTCCATACACAGTTTCGTATATATAGACAAGACCCCAATAGCTCGGAGATCTGTACACTAGCTGACGGCTGAACGGCAGGACGCAAGAGCCGAAGCTCAACCCCCTCGTAAGCACAACTAGGTGAGTGCAAATTCATCCATAACTCCCCTCCTCAACCCCAAGCCCCCCCCAACCCCTCCCCTCCCCCCCCCTCTCGTGGTGTCAACCCCTTCACCACCTCTCCCTTCTCTATTAACCCCCTTCATCCCCCCCCCCTCTATACCAACCTGCTCCTCTTTGTCCCCAACCACTCCCACAACCCCCCCCCTTCCCCACTAACAAACCCCATCTTCCCCCCACCAACCCCACGTCAAGTCCTATTCCATCTCCGCTCAACATCACAAACCTCAATAACCCCATAACATTATTTTCTCTCCCTCTCTCTCTCTCCCCCTCTCCCCCCAGCATCATATTTTGGTATGCGCGCGCAGCCTATCACATATAAAATATATAACGGGGGGGGGGGAGGGGGTGGTATATACGGTCACATATACGCTCTACATGTATATAGGTGGTTCCGTGGAACGCCTGGGTGTGTGGTGTATGCTGGCAAGGCCATCGTGGTCAAGTGGGTAGTTCGTGTGTGTCTGAGCAGACCCCAGACACCCGCGGGTTCAATCCCAAACCATTGCCTCAATAGAAAGTCAGATTTCAGGAATAGGAACACTGCGAAACCCCCCACCCCCCACCCCCGTCCCTAGCCCCCTCTCCCCCTCCCACTTGCTCTCTCATAAACACCTACATGGGGAGAGGGGAGATACGCCCCCCCCCATGGAGGGGGGAGGGGGGTGATAATTCTCCCATAAAGTGCTATTCAATTACGTTTGGGAAATTAGCCCCAGTGATAAAAGTCGCCGTTGACATCTATACGACATATTGGGC